ATAGAAGTGTCAGAGATGAAAGAAAATTAGTAAAATGTATTTGAAAATCTTCTTCCTGTCAGAGTCTGAGGCATGCCATGGGAACCAGAGTCAAGTCCCTGCCCACCCATGTGTGGCTCGAAATTGCACAAGACCCAGACCAGGTTGGCCCCACCCCCATTGGGCTAGATCCAGACCTGGCTGGTCCCACACCTGTCAAACCCCTCCAGGGCATGGGGCATGGCTGATGTCCTCAGGCCTGGGCTGAGGGGTGCGCCTTGAGATCCCCTGGCCTGGGCCAGGGGGTGCGACCTGAGGTCCCCCCATCAAGCCCCACCAGTAGAGGGGCATAGCCTCAGGTCCCCTGGCCTGAGGCAGGGGGTATGCCTTGAAGTCCCCCGTCAAGCCCCACCTGGCGGGAGGTGTGGCCTCAGGTCCCACAGCCCAGGCTGGGGCATGGGGCATGGTCTCAGGTCCCCGGGCCTGGTGGCAGTGTTGGAGGACAGCCTGAGGTCCCCTGTCAAGCCCCACCAGGCAGGGGGCACAGCCTCAGGTCCCTGCTGATTGCTCGTTAAGGCTCATTATGGGAACTCGGTCTCCGCTGTGGGCTCAGACATCTTGTGTTATGGAATCCCTGCCTCTGCTATGGGCGCAGCCATCTTGATTGTTACGGCATGGTGGTCAATTTGCATATTCCCTCTTTATTAGATAAGATATGCAAACTACTATTATACAATAGATCTCTAGAATTTTTTTTTATATATATATTTTATTGATTTTTTACAGAGAGGAAGGGAGAGAGATAGAGAGTCAGAAACATTGATGAGAGAGAAACATCGACCAGCTGCCTCCTGCACATCCCACCGGGGATGTGCCCGCAACCCAGGTACATGCCCTTGACCGGAATCGAACCTGGGACCTTTCAGTCCGCAGGCCGACGCTCTATCCACTGAGCCAAACCGGCTTCGGCAGATCTCTAGAATTTTTTCATTTTGCATGACTGAGACTTTGTACCCATTGAACAACAACTCCCCAATTGTACCACACCTACTCCCCCACCTCCAGCAACCACCATTCTGCTTCCTGCTTCTAAGAGTTTAATGACTTCAGACACCTCATACAAGTAGAATCATGTAGTATTTGTTTTTCTGTAACTGACTTTTTTCACTTAGTGTAATATCCTCAAGGTTTATCCATGTTGTAGCATATGACAGGACTTCCTTCTTTTTAAAGGCTGAGCAATATTCTATTTTCATTGTCCATTCATCTATCAATGGACACTTAGGTTGCTTTTACCTCTTGACTATTGTAAATAATGCTGCAGTGAATATGGGAGTGCAGATAGCTCTTTGTGATTCTGTTTTCAATTTTTAGATAAGTTCTCAGAAGTAGGATTCCTAGGTCATACATTAGTTCCATTTTTAGTTTTTTGAGAAAACCCCATACTGTTTTTCATAGCTATTTCACCTTTTTACATTCCCATCAACAGGACACAAAAGTTTCAGTTTCTCCACATCCTTGTTAATACTTGTTACATTATGGATTTTTTTGGGTGGCTTTTCTAAACGGCCATCTAACAGGTATAAAGTAACATTTCATTGTGCTTTAATTTGCATTTCACTGACGATTAATGATGTTGAGCATCTTTTCATATACTTGGTGGTCATTTGTGTATCTTTGGAGAAATGTCTTTTCAAATTCTGTGCCCATTTTTAATCAGGTTATTTGGGTTTATTTTGCTGTTGAGTTATAGGAGTTCCTTATACATTTTGGATATTAATCCCTTATCAGATATAGTTTGTAAATATGTTTCTCTCCCCCCCACCCCCATTCTGTAGGTTGTCTTCTCACTCCATTGATTGTTTCTTTTGCTGGGCATATTTTAGTTTGATGTAGTCCCACTGGTCTATTTCTGCTATTGTTGCCTGTGCTTTTGGTGTCAAATCTAAGAAATTGTTGCCATGACGAATGTTGTGAAGCTTATTCCTTATGTTTTCTTCTAGGAGCTTTATAGTTACATCATGCTGTGTAAAAACTGGCCAGTAAATCATCAAATGGCTCTACCATAATGTATCTAACTAATACTCAATTGCTAAACATATAAATTGTTCCTAAGGTTAGCTAATTAAAGTATTATTAGGATAAACATCTTGACATCTAACTATTTCTGCACAAATTCATGAATATTTCCTTAAGATGAAGTCCCATAAATAGATTTGGTAAGCAAAAAGTACTAAAACTATCTATCTTTGCATATTTCTGTATTTGTACCACAATATGCCCCCTGACCAGTTAAAATATGAAATATTAGGAGGAATGGCAGAAAACAAATAGGATGGACCCCAAATTCCATAGTCTATCATATATACACCATACTTAAGATCTAAATAATCCTGCTGAGGAAGAACTGAGCGAGTTACAGAATGATCACAGTGGGTTTCACAGAAGGCTTCATAGTGAGTGACATAAAAATGAAAGGCAAGATATCCAATCAGGCACTCTAGCAGAAGAATGGTATCAGAATGAGCAGTTTGGTGAAAAATGCCAAAGGCAAAAATAACCACAAAAAAGTTTACAAGTTTGGTCTATGTGGTGAGGATAGGTCACTCATCCTGAAATACTTACATACAATAGAGAAAAAGCAAAAGTACTCATGTTGCCTCTTCCTCTCCCTACCCCAATTATAACAATTTATCTATAATTAAAAAAAGGGTGGGGATACTGTAAGAGGACACCTGGCTATTTCAGTTGAGTTTTGGTTTTTAAGTTCAGCTATTCTTTCCCAGGGTAATAGAAAAACTTTTGGATGGGTGTGAATAAATACTTCTAAGAAATAATGTAGACAGTGGAAGCACTAGAAATCTTAAGAATATATTGGGAGTAAATATTCAAAAAGGGTGTTGGAGGATTGGAAGTCATGATACTATAGACTTGTAACATTGTCATTGCTTCAGGGAAAAGGGTAGAACATGGAAAGGATAATTTTGGAGCATTCTCTAGCAAAGTAAGTGATTTCAAAGATCATGAGAAGTGGCTCAGACTGATGGGGCCACCACCTCCCCCATGTAGCACATCTGTGTGCATCAGATACAGTTTCCTTACTGAGCTAGCACAGTCCCGCAGGCCCATGCCTGAGTGAACAAATTAGAAAAATGTTCCCCTTCTTTTCAACAGAAGCAATCTTGGTCAGAGCACAGGTTGAATTTGTCTTGGGCAGAAGTGCATTTTTAGAGTGAAATTGCCCTAGTGCTAAACTGGAATGGTGTAGCACCTGCAATTAAGACCTTTGGAGTCAGACAGGCTTGGATTGACTCCAGATCTATCTATTACCAGCTTTGTGACCTCCCTGAGACATTTTCTCGTTTGTACAATTGATGTAATAATTTTGTCTTCCTCGTCTTTCTTATTTGAGAAAAAAGAGCTAGACCACCAGGGTAAAAGTTCAAATAAATGAGATTTTGTTGCCCTTACCAGTGCGACTCAGTGGGTAGAGTGTTGGCCTGTGGACCGAGAGGTCCAAGGTTCGATTCTGGTCAAGGGCATGTACCTGGGTTTCAGGCACATCCCCAGTAGGGGGTGTGCAGGAGGCAGCTGATCGGTGTTTCTTTCTCATCGATGTTTCTAGCTCTCTATCCCCCTCCTTCCTTTCCTCTCTGTAAACATTATATATATATATATATATATAATATATATATATGATTTTGTTTCTCCTAGGTGGTGTAGTTCAGTGGTTGGGCGTCAACCCATGAACAGGTCACAGTTCCATTCCAGGATGAATTACGCTTTTTACAGGAGAAAGCCCAGGAAGAAGTAGACTGTTAAAAACAAGCCAATAGCTGACTAGGAAACCTTCTGTTATACCTGTCCTGGGTCATATTTTGCTACAAATATTAAAGTCAAATGAAATTGCTTAATGATTGTAATGATAAAAGATACTTTCCAACTACCAGAGGGAAGGTGAAGTGATTTAAAAGTTGATGTCAGCTAAATATGTTGATTGTCTTATACAAAATGACCCTATGGGCATCACATTTTATTCTTTTTCACCAGGGAATTAATTTAAATTTGCTATTTCTCAGATGAGTTCAGATCATGAATTTTACCAACATATATAATTAAAGACCTTGATTAATAATGTTTCCACCATAATTCTCTGTATTCTAATTTTCTGTATCTTAAACTACAGATTTAGGGTAGACATGATGTTTTGCTAGAAAATGTAAATCCTGAAGATTTTCATTATGCAAAAAGATTAATGAGTAAAATATAAAATTGTTTCCCCAATAAGAATGTCTATTTGTTTGAAGTTTTAATATAGTCTTAAAATATTACAGGTACCATCTTACTCTAAATAACAAATATTTAAAAAGAGAAATAGGGTTGAAAATCTAACTCCAGAATATTGTTGTTTGAGCAATATTTTGGGCATAAATTACCTGTAAAAGAGAAGCTGTCTGGAAAAGTGGGTAAATAATTTATTAGTTTAGTACAGAGCTTACTATTACGGGAGTTGGGTGAATTCTTTTCTAAAATAAACAAAAAAGCATCTAACAAGTGGATTAACATTTCCTGACCAATCTATATTATAAATTTGCACATTGGTTTTTCTCAAAGTATATAAAACTAACAGTAATGGGCTATATTCGTAAGATCTGAACACTCTTTAACATGCTCTGTCTTATTTACCCTGTGCAGTAGTTTGGGAAATTAGGTCCCTTGGGTAGAACTGAAGTGTATGCACAGTTATGAAATCATGAAATTGTGAACTTGACCAAGGTCTGAGGTCACATTTGTCTTATCTCCATAAATGAGGAAGTTGGATTAGATTGGATGTTCAACACCAAGATCTTTTAATTGTTTAATAAGATTTTTTAAATTTTGGAATACTTTTAGATTTACAAAAAATGTTGCAAAGATAGTACAGAGAACTCCCATACACCCCTCACCCAGTTTCCTCTGTTATTAACACCTTACATTACTATGGTACAATTGTCACAATTAAGGAACCAACATTACCTTCCATGGCATCTCCTGCCAATTCTTTTGTGGGAACGCCATATTGGATGGCCCCAGAAGTAATTTTAGCCATGGATGAAGGACAGTATGATGGCAAAGTAGATGCATGGTCTCTTGGAATAACATGTATTGAACTAGCGGAAAGAAAGCCTCCTTTATTTAATATGAATGCAATGAGTGCCTTATATCACATAGCCCAAAATGAATCCCCTACACTACAGTCTAATGAATGGTCTGATTATTTTCCCAACTTTGTAGATTCTTGCCTCCAGAAAATCCCTCAAGATCGCCCTACATCAGAGGAACTTTTAAAGCACATGTTTGTTCTTCGGGAGCACCCTGAAACAGTGTTAATAGATCTCATTCAAAGGACAAAGGATGCAGTAAGAGAGCTGGACAATCTGCAATATAGAAAAATGAAGAAACTCCTTTTCCAGGAGGCACATAATGGACCAGCAGTAGAAGCACAGGAAGAAGAAGAGGAACAAGATCATGGTGTTGGACGGACAGGAACAGTGAATAGTGTTGGAAGTAATCGGTCTATTCCCAGTATGTCCATTAGTGCCAGTAGCCAAAGCAGTAGTGTTAACAGTCTTCCAGATGCCTCGGATGACAAGAGTGAGCTAGACATGATGGAGGGAGATCATACAGTGATGTCTAATAGTTCTGTCATCCACTTAAAACCCGAGGAAGAAAATTATAGAGAAGAGGGAGATCCTAGAACAAGAGCATCAGATCCACAATCTCCACCCCAAGTATCTCGTCACAAATCACACTATCGTAATCGAGAACACTTTGCTACTATATGGACAGCATCACTGGTTACAAGGCAAATGCAAGAACATGAGCAGGACTCTGAACTTAGAGAACAAATGTCTGGCTATAAGAGAATGAGGCGACAACACCAAAAGCAGCTGATGACTCTAGAAAATAAGCTAAAGGCTGAGATGGATGAACATCGCCTCAGATTAGATAAAGATCTTGAAACTCAACGTAACAATTTTGCTGCAGAAATGGAGAAACTTATCAAGAAACATCAGGCTGCTATGGAAAAAGAGGCTAAAGTGATGGCCAATGAGGAGAAAAAATTCCAGCAACATATTCAGGCCCAACAGAAGAAAGAACTGAATAGCTTTTTGGAGTCTCAGAAGAGAGAATACAAACTTCGAAAAGAACAGCTTAAGGAGGAGCTAACTGAAAACCAGAGCACTCCAAAACAAGAAAAACAGGAGTGGCTTTCACAGCAGCAGGATAATGTACAGCACTTCCAAGCAGAAGAAGAGGCTAATCTTCTTCGACGGCAGAGACAATACCTAGAGCTGGAGTGCCGCCGCTTCAAGAGAAGAATGTTACTTGGACGCCGTAACTTAGAGCAGGACCTTGTCAGGGAGGAGTTAAATAAAAGGCAGGCCCAAAAGGACTTCGAGCATGCCATGCTACTGCGACAACATGAATCCATGCAAGAACTGGAGTTTCGTCACCTCAACACAATTCAGAAGATGCGCTGTGAGTTGATCAGATGACAGCATCAAACTGAGCTCACTAACCAGCTGGGATATAATAAGCGAAGAGAACGGGAACTAAGGCGAAAGCATGTCATGGAGGTTCGACAGCAGCCTAAGAGCCTGAAGTCTAAAGCACTCCAAATAAAAAAGCAGTTTCAGGACAGCTGCAAAATCCAAACCAGACAGTACAAAGCATTAAGAAATCACCTACTGGAGACTACACCAAAGAGTGAGCACAGCCGAAACCGGTTTGGCTCAGTGGCTAGAGCGTCGGCCTGCGGACTGAAGGGTCCCAGGTTCGATTCCGGTCAAGGGCATGTGCCTGGGTTGCGGGCACATCCTCAGTGGGAGTGTGCAGGAGGCAGCTGGTCGATGTTTCTCTCTCATCGATGTTTCTAACTCTCTATCCCTCTCCCCTCCTCTCTGTAAAAAATCAATAAAACATACTTAAAAAAAAAAAAAAAAAAAAAAGAGTGAGCACAAAGCTCTTCTGACACGGCTCAAGGAGGAGCAGACCCGGAAGTTAGCCATCGTGGCTGAGCAGTGTGACCACAGCGTTAATGAAATGCTATCCACACAAGCCCTGCGTTCGGATGAAGCACAGGAAGCAGAGTGCCAGGTTTTGAAGATGCAGCTGCAGCAGGAGCTGGAACTGTTGAATTCGTATCAGAGCAAAATCAAGATGCAAGCCGAGGCACAACATGATCCAGAGCTTCGGGAGCTTGAACAAAGGGTCTCCCTACGAAGGGCACTCTTAGAACCAAAGACTGAAGAAGAGATGTTGGCTTTGCAGAATGAACGCACAGAATGAATACGAAGCCTGCTGGAGCGTCAAGCCAGAGAAATCGAAGCTTTTGACTCTGAAAGTATGAGACTGGGTTTTAGTAACATGGTCCGTTCTAGTCTCTCCCCTGAGGCATTCAGCCACAGTTACCCAGGAGCTTCTGGTTGGTCTCACAACCCTACTGGGCGTCCAGGACCTCACTGGGGTCATCCCATGGGTGGCCCACCTCAAGCTTGGGGCCATCCGATGAAGGTGGACCCCAGCCATGGGGTCACCCCTCAGGGCCAATGCAAGGGGTGCCCCGAGGTAGCCGTATGGGGGTCCGCAACAGCCCTCAGGCTCTGAGGCGAACAGCTTCTGGGGGACGGACGGAGCAGGGCATGAGCGGAAGCACGAGTGTCACCTCACAGATCTCCAGTGGGTCACATCTGTCTTATACATAGCTTAATAGTTGAAAGTGGCAATTCTGCTGGAGCTGTCTGCCAAAAGAAACTGCCTACAGACATTGTCACAGCAGCCTCCTCACTTGGGTACTGCAGTGTGGAAGCTGAATGCATACGGTGTATTTTATTCATTTTTTTAAAGTGTTCTGTTTTGTGTTTACTAATTTGGATGTCATAGTATTTGGCTGCCAGGTTTTGTTTTTTGTTTTTTAACTTTTGGAGAAATTTAAAAGGGGGAATTGATATGTATGTGTGTGTGCACGCATGCACACATACACACACACACATCATGTGTGTGGTAAAAAGAAATTAGCTAGATAGGGGGTACTTTCTGAACACTGCAAATATATAATACAGCAAAAAACAAAACAAAAAAAACTCCCATAGTACCTTGCTATTAACTGGCCGCCACACTCTTTGTGGATTTCCCCAGTTTTCCCCAGTCATTCTTCTCTTCCAGGATCCTATCCAGGATATCAAGTGACATTAGTCACCATGTCTCCCTAGTCGCCTCTGGTCAGTGACAAGTTTTCAGACTTCCCTCGTCTGCAATGACCTTGACAGTTTTGAGCAGTGTTGGTCAAGTGTTTTGTAGAATGTCCCTTAATTTGAATTTGTCTGATATTTTCCTTATGATTAAACTGGGGTATGGGTTACTATTTTCATTACATGATATCAAGGGAACATGCTATTAAAATGACTTACCACTGATGATGTTGACCTTGATCACCTGCCAAGGTTGTGTTTGCCAGGTTAATTTCCTTTTCTCTCTTTTCAATACTCTGCTCCTTGGGAACAGGCCACCTACTAGTATATAACGCTACTTTATTATTTTCTCACTCATATTGGTGCCCTTTGGTTTTTGAGCACTTATTACTCTTTTCTCCCTTTCTCTCTCTCTCTCTCTTTCTTTCTCTCGCTCTTTCGTTTATGGGTTAAGGTATTACATATGTGTCCTATCCTCCCATTCCCCCCCACCTCCCTCCCCACTTGTGTTCTCACCCCCCTGGTGCCTGTGTCCATTGGTTAGGCTTATATGTATGCATACAAGTCCTTTGGTTGATCTCTCCCCCTTACCCTCCCCCTCCCCAACCTTCTCTCTAAGGTTTGATAGTCTGGTCGATGCTTCTTTTTCTCTGGATCTATTTTTGTTCTTCAGTTTATGTTGTTCAATATATTCCACAAATGAGTAAGATCATGTGATATTTATCTTTCTCTGACTGACTTATTTCACTTAGCATAATGCTCTCCAGGTCCATCCATGCTGTTGCAAATGGTAGGAGTTCTTTCCTTTTTACAGCAGCGTAGTATTCCATTGTGCAGATGTACCACAGTTTTCTAATCCACTCATCTGTTGATGGGCACTTATGCTGTTCCAAATCTTAGCTATTGTAAATTGTGCTGCTATAAGCATAGGGGTGCATATATCCTTCCTGATTGGTTTTCTAGTTTCTTGGGATATATTCCTAAAAGTGGGATCACAGGGTCAAATGGGAGTTCCATTTTTAGTTTTTTGAGGAAACTTCATTACTTTCTTTTTTATTGTTGTTGTTAATCCTCACCCAAGGATACTTTTACATTGATTTTTAGAGAGAGTGGAAGTGAGGGGGAGAGACACAGAGAGAAATATCAATGTGAAAGACACATCAATTGATTGCCTTCCACATGCGCCCTGACCAGGGCCAGGGATAGATCCTGCAACCAAGGTATGTGCCCTTGACTGGAATCGAAACTGGGACTTCCAGTCCATGGGTCAGTGCTCTATCCACTGAGCCATACTGGCTAGGCTAGCACTTAATACTTTCTAACCTCTAAGATGCAACTTTTAAAAATGTATTAAGATTTTATTTTCTTAGAGATGTTTTAGATTCACATAACATTGAGAAGAAGGTACCTAGATTTTTTAATATATCTCCAGTTTCCCTTCCTTCTCTCCCATTATAAATATTCCCAACCAGTGGTACATTCATCTATAATAATAAAAGTGTAATATGCTAATTAGACCGGACAGCCGAATGACCTTTCAGTTGTCATTCCGGAAGTCCTTCCGGGTGAAATCGCGGTGGCGGGGGCTGAGGCAGAGGAGGTTAGGGGTGGTCAGGCAGGCAGGCAGAGTGGTTAGGGGCAATCAGGCAGGCAGATAGAGTGGTTAGGGGTGATCAGGAAGGCAGGCAGAGTGGTTAGGGTGATCAGACAGGAAGGCGAGTGGTTAGGGGCAATCAGGCAGGCAGGCAGAGGGGTTAGGGGTGATCAGGCAGGCAGGCAGGTAGGCAGTGTGGTTAGAGGTGGTCAGGCAGGCAGGCGAGCAGTTAGGGGCATCAGGTAGGCAAGCAGGCAGTGGGGTTAGGGGCATCAGGCAGGCAGGCAGTGGTGGTTAGGGGTGATCAGGCAGGCAGGCAGCTGGTTAGGGGCAATGAGGCAGGCAGGTGAGTAGTTAGGGGCAATGAGGCAGGCAGGCAGAGTGGTTAGGGATGCCGATCCTGCAGGGATCCCTGAGGGATCGGGCCTAAACCAGGGGTCAGACATCCCCCAAGGGGTCCTGGATTGCGAGAGGGTGCAGGCTGGGCTGAGGGACACCCCCCACACCCATGCACAAATTTCATGCACCAGGCCTCTAGTAATGATAATAAACCTACATTGACAAATCATCACCTGAAGCCCACAGTTTACATTAGGGTTCACTTTCATGTTTGGACAAGTATATACTGACATGTATTCACCACTGTAGTATCATACAGAGTAGTTCTACTTCCCTAAGCGTCCTCTGTGCTCCACCTATTCGTTCTTTCCCTGTAACGTCTGACAACCATTGATCTTTTTACTGTCTCTATAGTTTTGTCTTTTTCAAAATGTCATAGAGTTGGAAATCATACAGTTGCTATAATGGAAAGAAGCCTTTTCTTTCCCATGTGGAAAAACTCAGTTCTTCCCTACTGTGTGTTTCTTCCCTGTGTGTCTCCTTTAGCACTCACACAGAACACTTCACTTCTGACACTTCTGGTCACCAAATATGTGGAGGTTTTACCCCACAACAACAAACAAGTGTCTGACACCACCTGGGTGTCCTACAACTTAACTCAACATAGTATCAGGTCTCACAGGTAAGGGCTCAGTCCCACAAGAATGCCCCCTCCTCCACCTCAGACGCCAGTTGCAAGCTCACATTATCACCTGTGCCTCTGACCAATGGCTATAGATAGGAGGTTGCAATAACCTCCTCTTCAGGTTTGATTAGTTTGCTATCATGTCTCACAGAACTCAGGGAAACACTTGTATTTACCAGTTTATTAAAGAACTAGAGGCTCGCCAAAACAGGTTTGGCTCAGTGGATAGAGCGTCGGCCTGCGGACTGAAAGGTCCCGGGTTTGATTCTGGTCAAGGGCATGTACCTGGGTTGCGGGCACATCCCCAGTAGGAGATGTGCAAGAGGCAGCTGATCGATGTTTCTCTCTCATCGATGTTTGTAACTCTCTATCTCTCTCCCTTCCTCTCTGTAAAAAATCAATAAAATATATTAAAAAAAAAAAAAAGAACTAGAGGCTCAGCGCACATTTAAATCGTGCACGCGTAGGGTCCCCTAGGCCTAACTTGCCATGGGGGCCATGTCCACCGCCCCACGAAGCCTCGCACGCTCCACACTCTGCGCTCTGCGTACACTGCCGGTGGCCCAAGATGCTCCAGAAGTCCCGCTCCTGCCGGGGCCGCCATGGGACCCATTAATGCACCTCCTGGTGAGTCCAGTAGTTGGTCGTTTTGCCGTTATGGTGTCACAACCACAGGCCTTTTTATAATATACATATGATAAAAGACACAGATGAGCAGCTCATTAAAAAGACGCATAGGATGATGTCTGGAGGATTCTGTGTGCAGAAGCTTCTGCCCCCATGGAGTTGAGGTGCATCACTCTCCTGGGCAATGGATGTGTTTGCCTGGAAGCTCTCTGACCCCATACTTTTGGGATGTTATGGAGGCTTCCTTGTGTGGGCATAATCAATTATAAACTCACTTCCAGCCCTTCTTCCCTCTCCGGAGGATGTAGGCTCTGGGGTGAGGCTGAAAATTCCAAGCTTGTAATCATGGCTTGGCCTTTCTGGTGACCAGCCCTATCCAGGGGCCCACCCAGAGTTGCCTCCTGAAGACACAAGATGATCCTAGTGCTCTGATCACTTAGGAAATTACAAGGATTTCAGGAGCTCTGCTCCAGAAACAGGGGATAGAGTCCAATACATATATTTTCTATTATCTCACACAGCCTTTTCAAATTGGCTACTTTCACTTACTAATACACATTTTATGTTCTTCCATGTCTTTTCATGACTCATTTCTTTTCAGCACTGAGTAACATTTCACTGTTTGCTGTACCACAGTTTATTTATTTATTAATCTATCAAAGGACATCTTGGTTGCTTCCATGTTTTGGTAATTGTAAATAAAACTGCGCTGTGTGAACACAAGTTTTTAACTCCTTTGGGTAAATACCAAAGAGTAAGATTTCTAGAACATACTGTAAGAGTACGTTTTGTTTTGCAAGACATTGTCAAACTGTCTGTACCATTTTGCATTCCCACCAGCAATGAATGAGAGTTCTTGCTGCTCCACACTTTTCCCCTATACCTTCCCTATACTTTCCCAGGATATGTGCTATTGGTCATTCAGGGATGGGGAACATCTGGCCTGCAGGCCATAGAAGGCCCTCAAAACCATTTGGTCTGGCCCTGCCAAGGCATTAGGGGTAAGTTAATTAAGTGTTTGACCAAATATAGCAGGCTAACTTTTAAGTTGATAATTTTGTATGGCCCACAAATGATGTTATAAATATCCAAATGGTTCTTGGCAGAAAAAAAGGCCCCCCACCCCTGGAAATGAATATGAAAACAAAGATACCCAATGTTGATTATCCATCAATGCTCTGGCTGTGAGATCAAGGGCAGGAGGTGAGGTGACTTAAAATATATGCCACATGGAAATGGTACAGTATAACTAGTAAAGCCAACTTATAT